CCGGTGAGTAGAGCAATTTTCGAAGGTTGCCTAAGTGCGGCGAAGTGATCGACTTTGAGAGCGGAAGCGTGGAAAGTGCGCATAAAGTTGTGCAACGCTGAAAGCGGAATACGGATATAAATATATGTAAACGTGAATGTGTACCCGAATAGATTACTAAGAAAAACGTAACAGGGGAAAGATTGAGCGAACAAGTGAGCGATCAATGTGGGTATGCATGCGTGATTGAAAGTGGACGCACGGCACGAGAGATTTTCACCCCAAGGCAAATTTTCTGGGGTTCAATCTGCAATGTTTGTGTGCGTGCGTACTTTTACAATTTGCAGTGCAATGTACAATACAGATACTCGATTTCATAACTGCTATGTAGATAGATATTCATTATAAGAAGCGAAAATATAGTAAGAATTAAAAAACATTAACAAAGACGCTTGCGTGTAATTCTACACCAGACCGTGATCTGATAGTCTGTGATTTGACTCCGCTGTGCTCATGCGAATTTGGTTTCATCGAATAACCCAAATATGAAAATATGGTATCTGTTGCTGTCCATCCCAAATCCAATATACCCATGTTGTCATACATATCCTTATAATGCCTCAGTGTGATTGCCTTCCCTTTCACTTGTGAGAAGCATGTAACCCCCCAAAATCCAAATCTAATTTAACAAGAGAAGTCGTAGAATTAATGTGATACAAAAAAGTCGTAGAATTAATGCAATACAAGTGCAAATATAAAAAAGAAACGAAAATAAGAATAAAAATCGCATACCACTTCTCTGTTTCTAAGCCCTTGGCCTAAAAAGGCATGTTCGTAACAAAAAAGAAAAAAGTGCGCCTTCAATGCTGCAAAATATAATCAAGTAAAAAGAAGAGAAAGAATTAATAATGTTCTTGGCTGTGACGCTCTTCCTGGCGCGAAGGCCATCCTTCGTTAAATGCAGATGCGGCTCTGGGACTTAGTCCTGGCTCGCTGTTGCAAAGACTCATGGGACTCTGTCCCCCGTCTGCAGAGTGCATTCGGTTGTGATGCGATCGGGCAGCGTTTTCTGCACGAGCGCTGTTTTGAAGAGCGGGCAATTTACGACGACGGGCGTTGATAAACCAGTTGGAGATTTGGTCTGGGAAGCTTGTTAGTATGATGTGTAGGAAATGGATTGGGGGGTTAGATGGCTACTTACTTAATTGTAGACCTGTCTGTCTCATTAACAATTGCTTTTCTTCTTCGTTTGGATAGGGATGTTCGAGGTGGTTGATGAACCAGGTTGTTAAGATATCGGTGGTGGGTTTTGGGAGATTTCCACGACGCTTGCGGGGTTTTGAGTCGCCCATTTCTTGGGCTGGGTAGGGAGCTGGGCTGTAGCTTCCTGCGTGGTGTCTGTTGGTGAATGGGGTTTGGCCTGGATGGTGAGGGAAAGTTGCAGGTTGGGGATAACCTTGGTCTCTGGGTTGGTGGTAACCGTAGTCGGATCGTGAAGGGGCGTATTTTTGTTGGTGGTATGAGCGGGAGGCCTCCAATGCATACTCGTTTCTTGGGTACTCATTTATGGGAGGGTATTCGCCATGTGATCGTTCTGCGGGGTTTTGAGAGTAAGTTCGTTCGTAAGATCGGTCGGGTGTAGTAATACTTGGGAGGCTTGGGCGGTATGTCGTACTCGATGGCTCAGAGATTGGAGAATGGAATGGTGGTCTCGAAGTATGGTGATCTTGATTCTGGGCTCTGCGTTCTGGGATTGAGAGAATGGGTTGCTCTCGTCCAGACCTTGAAACATAAGGGCTTCCATGGCTAGAATGAACTCTGGACTCCTGACGGGCGTTCGAGGAAACAGGCGAAGAGTTTGCACTGTGATAACCGTAGGTCGCTGTCATTGGGCTCCGACCACTGCTAACTGACTGATATCTCTCTCGTTGCTGCTGGCTTTCCTCATCATAGTAATCATCGGATAATCTCATTCTCTTGTTTGACCCAGGAGATGTATTTCTTTCTGTTGTGATGGGAGAAAATGATGTAGCGTGTCTGTACTCGGATTCAATAGGTCTTTCCTGGCTCTCAAATCCAGCAAACATCTAGTTGGAGGTCAGTACTGTCCTGAAAGGCAGCCGAGAAGATTCACTTACTGTTCGAATAGATGGAAGTGATTCCCCAACATTGGCCATGCGTGGTTTTGACCTCATCTCTACAGGTTCAAGGCCACGCCAATCCGAGCCAGAAAATACAGGTCTCTGTAATAAAGCCATGGTGGAATGTGTGTCCCGTGGGTTGGTGTCTTGCGTGTGAGATTGTTCTGGTGTGTGAAAGTTCATTTCAAAGTGTTTGCCCGATATGGCTCTGTGTAAAGAAGAAATATATATAAAGAGCGGTTTTGATTATTCTTATATGATATTAGTGAGAGTATAACTTGATGACATTAATGATTGAAGTATGAAATGAAAGTGTGAAAGGATGATTCGATTACAATAAATGCCGACTTCGAGATTTATACCAAGATGTCCAAACTCTCAAAGTTCAAACTAGAGAATTCGGAAGCTGCAATTGCCTAACTCGATGACTTACCAAGACAAGGACCAAGACTAGATCGACCACTACCAGTGGCAGGATCAAACCCAAAAATCAGTTCCGTAAACAATAGTGCTTCCAGAACAATAAGTTTTATGGGTATTCTGCTTAGGTGCAAATCTACTATGTTCCAATGGTAACTCGAATGTTTCCCGAAAGCTGGCCTCGAATTAGACTATAACGACTGGTGACGTTACTCTTGAGATTCAACTAGGAATATTTGATGGCGATATTGGTAAAAAAGGGAAAGGATCGAAATAGAGTTCTTGCAATGAACCGTATGTAGATTTGGTGTGTGCGTTGTGATAAATAATAATCCTACTTTAGCTCGAGTTGATATAAAACATATTTTGACTTTCAAAAAAATGGAATGAGGACTGAAGACTCTTAAGTATAATAGATTAGTTGAAGAAGGTAGATCAACGGGCCGCTGCACAGCTGCCGAAATGGGATTTCCATAGAAGGCTAAGAGGATGGGAGGGCAGGATCAAAGTGTCAGGGGTGTTTCCCACAAGAGAATACCGCAGTGTCAGAGGTGGAGCTAATGTCCGTCCGAGGTTTGTGCTTTGGTAAAGAAGGGGGTAGGTGAGGTTAGGATAGCCTCGTTGATGATGCTACATGGAATCTGCTTGCGTCAATCCAAAAGAAAGAATAAGAACGGTTATAACTCAGTAGGCGTCTAGTGTGGCGTTTCCCCTGGGAAGTTCCAAGAAGGTTCCAGGTGTATGAGTTGCGAGTAATGGAATTAGGACTAAGGAACCCTTGATATCATGTATGACTGAAGTTTTGTGTGGTAGACTCTATCTAGTATGTGCTTCTGAAGAAGAAGAATACTGAGATGCAAAGATAGCGTTCGCCGCAATGGAGGAGCTGCATCCCACGAGCTAGGTTCTAAGTCAAGTGCCAGCGTCACGATGCCGGGGTCTTTTTTTACACTTACGCTCTTCAACCGTGCAGTTCTGCAGCCGCTATATTTCCCGGTGGAAACATTCCATGTTATTCAATACCGAGCAGGGGAATGTTCCAAACCTGCAACTTTACTGCACCTTACCGAGCGACTGATGAAGGCCAAGGTGACAATTGACAATTGAAGGAAGACTTGCGATTTGATCGAGTGTTTATTAGTTAGTATGAAGAAACATCATACACAAACAAACTCCATGAGATGTTTTGTTTTAGTTTTTGGGTGTCCCAGCATCCGTTGATACAGTGTCCTAGTTGAGTAAGAAGGTTTATGGGTCAGATGTATTTCTTACTCCTTGTTGCTTAGCTGCAAAGATCAAGGTACATTAGGTGATAGCTGATGGATGGAGACTTGTATCGAGATGATGTTCAATTTGGCAGGTTTGATGGTCGATGGTCATAGGTGGAGTTCCTCCCTGGTCAGTCTGCTGGTAGGTGCTCACCGTGCTCCTCTTTCTCTCTGTAGATTGTTGGTATGTGCATTGATTCTTGGACAATCTATTCATGCTTTCTGGGATCAGCCTTGCCTTGTGTGTTTCCCCTCCTGTCTTCCCACATATCAGAATACGACTTTACAAATGTAATATCTGTAAGGATCCTTCTGTGGCTGACACCTTTTTTTTCTCATTAATGTATCTGTGATTAAACCTTTGGAAAGCTTCTTTGAGAATCCGTCTACTTCGACCTATCCCAATCGAAACTTCGAATCTGCATGGATTAAAGAAAGAGGAGAGATCATTACCAAAAAGACATTAGAATTTTCACACATACCTAGGTATTACTACTTGAATCACGATGAACGGTGAATGATTTGCTGAAAAATTTGATTGCTAAAATTAAAAGCACACGGTTCTAGACCATAATGAGTTATAGTAACGGGAATACCTACAAGGCCCTCTAATGGGAGGTTAATTTATGATTTGGGGTTAGGTAGCTATTCCGCACTGTAACTAGCAGGGCAGGTAACACGTCTCTAAAGTCATTAATTTATGAAATCCACAATTAGAAAGTTTACGAGAAAAGATACTATAATTCGATATCTCACATAAATGAATTTTGATAAAACTTTAAGTTTGTTGTTATATATAGGGAATAGTAAACCAGAGATATCCCTACGCATCATACAGCATCATTGTCGTTGAAACAGAACATCCAGTACAGCGTCTAGAAGATATTGGGGCTCAGTTACTCCTGAATTTCTACTTCCCTAGGTTACGATAATAAACTATCTAATCATCTCTTGTAGACCGGGAAATGTTCAGATATCAAAATAGAAACTGATGAAGTTTGGCTGGAAATCATTTCGAGTACAATAAAGTTCGAAATACAAAACTTGCCCATGATTCCCTATGATTCCTCGTTGAGAACGCATGTCTTGCTTCTGATCGTGCTACTACGATATATTGACCGATTGGACCGAGGCTACAATTTGCGGTGACACAGCATTAGCTTCAGCAGAGTGAATTCATAATGTGGATGACCTAAAAGCTGAATTCATGGAGATCAAATCCCCCTTCCGAGCGAGTCTGTGAAAATGGCAATACATAGGGCAAGACATCCAAGGGTAATCTGCCGGGTTCTAGGGAGTAACTTTGAGATGTTTGATTAGCTCACCATTCGTTTCAACTACTACCGATCCCCCCTCGCAAGCCACGACGTTCAGGCAAAACTGACTGGCTTACTTCTACCAGTGACATGATCGACACCGGGAGTTGATGATTTTCCAAGAGATCTTAGGGCATGAATGGCGAAGAAAAGGATGACAGCTGTACAGAACAGGGACATTGTTATGAGCCGAGAAAGCTTTGGCAATTGACAAATAAACTGTCTAGATCATTGTCAATGATTTATTTGGGGAAATCCAAATCGCCGAATACCCACCAGTTAATATACCTTTGAACTTGGGATAAGGTAATGCGACCTATCACTATTGCTACTGCTTACGCTTGCAGGATGCAGAACGATGGGATCTTGCAGGTTTTTTTTCTCTGACCCGAGTGACCCGTCTGCTTGGGACCAACCATAACGATTTTTCTAATTGAAATGAACATGAAATACTAGAACGGCTGGAAGTCGATAAGTATGCTCGAGGCACCCAATTTAAATTTTTCAAGGTCAAACGGATCTGGGTGTAGGAGTTCGTTTATGATTCATCCGTTCTTTTCCATGTAAGAGAAATGTGAATCTTGAAACTATCTGACAAGTGACACGATCTTCGCAAGCAAATCTCAATATGGCATTTTTCAATCCTGAATGGGATTCTTGAGGATAGGGTATAGTAAAATTTAGCCACCAAATTTCAAACTTAACCCCCGAGCTCTCCGAGATCGCGGGGCTCGGTTATGGCTTGGGGCATGGACATGACAGATTGTAAGGCGCAGACACTTTAGTTCTTTTACATACCGGTTGGCAGGTTTGATGCTACAGCAAATATGCAGCGCAGACGACTGGCTGGAGTTATACGAAGACCTTTTTACAGCATCGTCATCGACGTTATGAATCGAGATAGATGTCGTTATGGTTGGGTAACATGCATAGTCAGACGTTTAGACTAGTCACTTGATTTTGTGAGATTTATTAATTCGATATTACCGAGCTTTCTACGGTCGTGTTGGGCTATACCACACAAAGTCCCTTCAATCGTGATGATCTGTGGGGTTTTGTTACAATGCAGTTATCAATTTATATACCCATGCTTGATGTACCTGCACCTGGCCGTATAACTTGCATTTTTGGGAGAATATGTACAAAATACTAAGGCGAATCATTTTCTGGAAATCTTCTTCTGTTTGCTATCAGTACAGTGAACAACAATAAGTAAGACATGTGATCATAACATACTGCAGCCATCCTTCTCATGATTCTAGTATGCTGGAGATACTTAGCTACGGCTGGAGGTGTCATGACAAGTTCAGATGAAATATACCATGATTGCAATATTTGTACAATCTTGCGAATGTCGTCTTTCCGAGACACCATGTTTATGGAAATTCGTACTGATCCCCCTGAGCATTTTCGGAAAGTAGGAGTCAACGCAGTGAAAGTACAAATTGCCATGGAAAAATAACCGACTTCTCGTGCTTTAGGTTAGGTTGTCATGCTTTCTGTCCTCCGGATTTCCTTACTTGCAGCATCTTGTGCTTTATTTGGTTCGAAGCATCTAAGCCACAATTTAACGTGGAGGGCCATGAGCCGCCCCTCGAGCCCATGAAACGACCAGAGATCTCAAACAACCTAGATCCAAGCAACCCTCAGTGTCACGGCAAGAAAAAATATCCAAGGATATTCGAGGATGCTACCCAAATGGCAGCGGGATTCATGGGTCCCATAGTGCAAAGTGTCATCACTTCAAACTTTGCAACGGGTGTCAAGGAAATCGCTGATGTTTCCAGAATAGGAATTTTCAACGAAACTTCGAACGGTTGCATGTTTAGCAAAAGAAACAAATACATGCAAACTAAAGCATGTCAAATGGTTCATCGGGGAATTATCTTGCACGGACGGGTTCTAAGACTTGACGGCCTTCAGAATTGAAAAAAAAAATCTGTCTATTCGTGCTAATTGTGATATGCTCACACGTTTAAGAGCAGAGAACCCTCAACTGATCCATCATATACCAACCAATCGAAAGCTTAAAAGCTTTGCGATTGGATGTCATATCTGCAACTGTATGCACAACTGCTATGTGCCACCCCTCCATCTGTCAATCATTAAAGTTAATTCACATCAACAGCGGCACCTTTCCACTGACAGGGAGTTAGGACCCTGGTATGTACTAACAACAACATTGGTTGCTCTAGTGTCATGGTTGTATAAGCTCGCCACCAAACTTTTGTATGCAGAAATTCGCAAGAATATCTGGAAAAGGAAATGCTGACGCTTATTATGTAATCTGTTATGCCCTTGCCCGGAAAGCTGCCTGTACTGTACTTCTACAAATGTATAATTTGTATGATACAAGCACGCCAACAGCCAAGTTCAGCCAACATACGGAAGTGACCCATACAGCATTCAATTCGGAGGGCGCAGCTTGAATTCATCAAGTGTAGTGTGTGCGGCATGGTGTGCGGGTATGGCCGTGTGGAAATTCCGGGGTTCCTGGAACTTGCAGCCGGAAAAGAAAGCCTGAAAGTCACAACAGTACAGAGTACGCAATCCTAATTTACTGTAGGACGCAATCTTCGTTTGTACTGCTGTGATTACGTTGTGTAATCGCCCACAACCTCACCAACGGTCAATTCCAAGATCTTAAACTTTACAATCCCGCTTCTGTTCAGTGCCATGCACAAAACACCATCGAGCATTATCACACTGTCGGTACAGAGTAACCCTAAGAATGTTCCACCAAATCACAGGACTTTACCCACGAGCTGATATCCTCGAGACTATCGCACCTTCGCCAATCTAAAGCGAGCGGAAGTCAGCAGTATTGGGAACATCCGGCTATTTACATATCTAGTGTGCAACAGAATTGGCCCATCGAGTCCACATTGTTACCAGCTCGGGGACCTAAAAACCGAGTAGACGGCGCAGCACATCTCGCTACCTGTGGCTAGCCTTTAGGGTAAGTGGTACAGATACTGCCAGTCTTGCACGCAGCTCGCCGTTCCAAAACCAGTTCATCGGGATCTCATGTTCTTTTGGTTCCGACTTTTAGAATAATAGCTCGGAACGGGTATATAGCGGATTGCTAGAAATTCTCTCCGATATCTAATGTCTCACTTCGATAATCAGCCATTCAAAACTTACTGCATACTTCGATTTTCACTTCCTGAAGAATAGCTACGAAGGTGTAGTGGTTTTCTTCGCCTCGTGGATGCCATATCCGGGAACGTTGCAAAATCAAGGGGTGCCATCTTTTTCAATACTGCATGAGTTTTAGTAAGAGTTACTGCAGTCATCAATCATGATTTCCATGGTCCCCACGCGATCATAATCCTTCGACATGGTTCTCATCTGATTTTCCTGACCAATATCAGAAGTTTATTTTGGAAAGTTAATTATATCTTATTCGAAAGAAAGCTGTGCCCCTTCTAGAGGACAAGACCCTGATGGTTACGATCTGATCGCAGCGCCAATGAGCCTCAGTATACTAATATCTACATGGCAAATTTACGCGATACTATCATAACCAAATATTATTTCACATCCGAGTCGAGATCGGTCCCAGAATTGGAATCTCACGATGGTCCGAATGAGAGGGCCGGTTTCAATCGGCCCATGAAGGTGTGAGCTGCGAGGATTATTTCAATACATTCCAATGAAAGACCTAAATATCCTGGAAAACAAAAGGCCCAGGCCTATTAAACCTCTTCAAGCACCACCATTGTTACTGTTTGGTGTTGCATCATTCAGGGTCTTTTTGCAGGGTATAGCATTCCAAAATTCGATTTCCAATGCATTTCCATGGATGAGCAGCGAGCTCTCTCGCTATGCGAAGATAATATTGACACCATCATATGATCATCATCATCATCATTGGCTCCCTATCTCAACTTTAGCCATGTTTATATCTCATATTCCCTCTCTAGGCTTCATTGCTTTCTTATCTTTGCTACGAGGGGTCAACTTCGCCATTACCTTACTGCATATATCAGACTGACATGGAACCTGCAACCCCCTCGATAGCAGCATGCAGAAGATCTCTAGTATACAGCAAATATCAATGCTGCTGTGGTATTCTGTCTGGTCCTTGTTCTTTGGTGACGACGAAACAAATGCCAGGCAGGGTTTATACCCCACGCTGGAGTCGCATTCTAGGTTTTAGCACACTTTACATGAGAATGTTCTAGGATCTTTAATCCTCATCTCCGACAACTTGCATGATGTTCTGGACCCCCTATATTGTCTAGTTTCAATACCTTTTTTAAGTAGCGATAGTTCCCGGCTACAACATCATTATCGACGAGGCCAAAAGCCTAAAGAAAGATTATTATTCTTTGGGAATTCCCCGGCTCGAACGGTCCTTTGCAACACCTTTCCGGAGCGATATGCTTTCGTAACATCAAAGATCCAGTCTTGATCTACACAACGATTGAAAGTTTCTCCTGCTTCTTGCATAAATTTTTCACCTGATTCTGAGCCTCGGGGTATCCACGAGCAAAACAAGTATGTGTAAGCTCTCGCCCCCCCCCCTTCGTTAGTTCCTGTCGACGCTCCTTCTGGACTCTTTGACAGATCTGTGCAAACGGAAAACCTCCATCGATCAACAAAAAACTATGGGGGTTACAGTATCTAGGTATTCAAGTTTTTCGTCTAGCGCCGTATAGAGTCGTATAGCATCACTTGTCATTATTGCTTCGTTTTAATCGCTGAATATTTCCTTGCCATTCGAACCGAATTTCCATTTTCACATTATAAAACTTGGCCGGAAAAGCCAAGATTTATGTCAAAGTGCCAAATTCCTTATTAAATCTCAGTGCCGTCCGCTTGTTTACTATTACTTCATGGCTCTTAGTTAGTGACCCCCTTAGTTTTGTTAGCTTTTGAATTTATGCATAGCTCGGAGAACACATCCGAGATCAGACACTACCAATATTTGACAACGGATTACTTTCTTCATTAAGTAACTTTCACCGTAACATGATAGACTTTCAAAGTGTCCGTTGATCTTAGGGCTGGATGTGCTCAAGTTTGTCTAGTCTTGAGAGCTAGGCACAGTGGGCCCGAGACTGTCAGTTCGTAGACCAACTCGTAACATTACACGGCACGATTTCATTTCGTCATGAACTTACGAGTCATTAAAAAAATACAATTAGCGCGGCAATTTAGACAGGGCGTTCAGA